TTTGCTAGCCAGGATGGTGGTGATGATGTGGGTTTGGGAAGCATCACTACAGAGTTCAGACATCAGCCTTTTGGGTGTTGGGGGCGGGTGTGGCAGTGGTGTACCACCTCCTGGTCTCTGGGTCTGTGCTATGGCAGGGATGTCTTTGAGCTCACTGGTCCTGGGGGCAGCCTTTGATTCCTCACTGCCCTGACTGGGCAAGGTAGTTTTGGGGGCCCAGAGAATCTTTGCTAGAAGTAGTCAAGAGCCCCTTTCTCTGGCCCTTGTAGCAGTATCCTAAGTACCCTTTCTTAAAAAAAATTTATTTATATATTTGAAAGGCAGAGTTAGAGAGAGAGAGAGAGAGAGAGAGAGAGAGAGAGAGATTCCATCTTCTGGTTTACTTTTCAAATGGCCACAACAGCCAGGCTGGGCCAGGCTGAAGGAAAGAGCCAGGAGCTCCATCTGGGTCTCCCACATTAATGGCAGGGACCTAAACCCTTGAGCCATCTTGGCTGTCTTCCCAGGTACATTAGCAGGGAGCTGGAAAAGGTGGGGCAGTCAGGACTGGAACTGGTACTCTGATATGGGATGCCAGCATTGCAAGTAGTAGCTTAACCCCCTGTGTCACCACACCCACACTCCTGTTTCCCACTTTCTTTGCTATAACAGCCATTTCTAGTAGGGATATTTCGGACATGTTTAGTAAACCTGTATGCAAGCTTTTTTTTTTTTTTTTAACTAAGGAATGAAATTTTTTTTTTTTTTTTGACAGGCAGAGTGGACAGTGAGAGAGAGAGAGACAGAGAGAAAGGTCTTCCTTTTGCCCTTGGTTCACCCTCCAATGGCTGCCGCGGCCAGCACGTTGCGGCCGGAGCACCGCGCTGATCCGATGGCAGGAGCCAGGTACTTATCCTGGTCTCCCATGGGGTGCAGGGCCCAAGTACTTGGGCCATCCTCCACTGCCTTCCCGGGCCACAGCAGAGAGCTGGCCTGGAAGAGAGGCAACCGGGACAGAATCCGGTGCCCCGACCGGGACTAGAACCCAGTGTGCTGGCGCCGCAAGGCGGAGGATTAGCCTAGTGAGCCGCGGCGCCGGCCAGGTTTTTCTTTTTCATAATCACTGTTTAACTGTTTATAAATTGCTGTCCGGTAAGATAAGTGTCTTGCTTTTAATCCAAAGATCAATTTTTTTTTCAGAAAACTCACGCATTTTGTTATTTTGAATCTCCCTATTTAAGAATAAAGTGTAGCTCTCCATATATGTAGGTCCTGAGTGATAACTTCTCAATAATTTATGTGTTTTTTTTTTTTTGACAGGCAGAGTGGACAGTGAGAGAGAGACAGAGAGAGAAAGGTCTTCCTTTGCCGCTGGTTCACCCTCCAATGGCCGCCGCTGCAGCCGGCGCACCGCGCTGATCCTGGCAGGAGCCAGGAGCCAGGTGCTTTTCCTGGTCTCCCATGGGGTGCAGGGCCCAAGCACCTGGGCCATCCTCCACTGCACTCCCTGGCCATAGCAGAGAGCTGGCCTGGAAGAGGGGCAACCGGGACAGAATCCGGCGCCCCAACCGGGACTAGAACCCGGTGTGCCGGCGCCGCAAGGTGGAGGATTAGCCTATTGAGCCACGGCGCCGGCTCTTTTTTTTTTTTTTTTTTTTTTTTTGCCATTAAGGCCTAGAATATTTTTTACTGAAATCATTCTTATGTGTTATCTATTTCAATGCTATTATACACAGTAAATCTTAACTGTCATTGTGACTTTAAGCTCTTTTTTTTTTTGCTTTTTTCCATTATGGTCCCCTACAATTTTGCTCACTTTCTTGCAACTCAGCTGTGTATTTGGGCGAGTGCTTTTGAGGCTTTAGTCAGCATCTGTGCATACGTTGTTGCCAGTTTTTCAGATTATCCAGCACAGGATTTCTCAGTCTCAGCACTGTGGATGTTTTAGGCCAGATAATTCTTGGCTGTGGGGGATTCGCATAGTGGGATGTTTAACAGCGGCCCTGGCCTCTATCCACTGGACGCCAAAACCGAAGCCATGACCAAACATGCCTCTGGACATTGCCACATGTTCCCTGAGGGGCAAAGTCATCCTCCATTAAGAACCCTTGATCTTGCCTTACCTCCGTGCACTACTTTTCAGATACTCATCTTAAACCTTTTCAGATGTAGATTCCTAGGTGCGCATTCTGTTTGCTTTGTCTGCTGTCCTGGAGTTCTATTTCTGTGCATGATCATTTTTAAGCAAGAACTTATCTCCGGCGAAGTTCTTTCCAGGATGTCTCTTATGCCTTGGGTGGCGAAGGGGGTTTTATGGGAGGTTTGAGTTTGCCCTCTGAAGGTCTTATAGGCTATTCTGGTATAAGAGTGATTTTTATGTTATTTTCAGAGTAGTTGTTATGTGAACCCTCATCTGAACTCTCCCTTGAGTGGTCTCCTTTTTTAAGTGCCTGTCACGTCACCTCTAGCCTCAGTTAGCTGCCCCCACCCATTCCAGCCTGCTCACTCTATTTGGCTGCACTTGCTATAGTTTCTCTTGACTATTTTCTCTCAGGGTACCAGATGCTACCACTGAGTAATTTGGATTTGGTTGCCAAGCTATACCCCCATTAGCACAGAGGGAACACAGCACAGCACAGCACTCCTGCAGAGGGTGCGTGACTGGCAGAGAGCAGTCGTGGGTAAAATGGTTGAAAGAAATGAACTGAGCAGAAAATATTTTTTCAAAGCAAGTCTCTGCTTTTGTTAACTCTTGATGGCATTGTTGTAACATGGATAAATTATAAAAGTTAGGCGACTTTAAAAACAGAGAATTGAATATTTCATTTCTAGTAGTTCTGTTTGGTTCTCTTTCAGATGTGTCAAATGTCTCTTTTTTAACTCTTGCGTTGAATGACCTCTTTTTCTATTCCTTCTAGTGTATACAAATGTTTTGTAGGCTGATTTATAATAACAACTGTGAACAATACTGCAACTTGACTTTTTTTTTAACTTTTATTTAATGAATATAAATTTCCAAAGTACAGCTTATGGATTACAATGGCTTCCCCCCCATAACGTCCCTCCCACCCGCAACCCTCCCCTTTCCCACTCCCTCTCCCCTTCCATTCACATCAAGCTTCATTTTCGATTCTCTTTATATACGGAAGATCAGTTTAGCATACATTAAGTAAAGATTTCAACAGTTTGCTCCCACACAGAAACATAAAGTGAAAAATAATAGATGGTTTTTTAAATGATGATGAAATCAGATCAGACCTATTGTCATGTTTAATCCCAGTGAGAGTCAAGTTGGGAATTGATAATTTCTTTCTTTCTTAAATTTTTTTTTTTTTACAGAAGATCAGTTTAGTATACCTTAAGTAAAGATTTCAACAGTTTGCACCCCCATAGAAACACAAAGTGAAATATACTGTTTGAATACTCGTTATAGCATTAAATCTCAATGTACAGCACATTAAGGACAGAGATCCTACATGAGGAGTAAGTGCACAGTGACTCCTGTTGTTGACTTTACAAATTGACACTCCTGTTTATGGCATCAGTAATCTCCCTATGCTCCAGTCATGAGATTCCAAGGCTATGGAAGCCTTTTGAGTTCTCCGACTCTTATCTTGTTTAGACAAGGTCATAGTCAAAGTGGAGGTTCTCGCCTCCCTTCAGAGAAATGCAACTTGACTTTTAGTGAGTAGAGTAGGAAAGGAATTTGACCTCCTCTTTGTGGGAATTGGCAATTAGGTTAAAGTACTGTTGACTTGCGAGTGGAATTTGCATTTTATCTTTCCAAAACACATAAAATTAGTATTAAACTTTCAGAGTTAAAAAAAATAAATCCGAGTACTAGTTTTCCTTCTTTCACTGAGCGATCATTTTTGCAAATTTTATTTCTTCAGTTATTCACAAACTGCCATATATAAGTCAAGTTTGGATGAATGGGCTTGGGGTTGACATAGCCACATCAAAACCAGATGGATATTTAAATATGTTTGTACACAAATGCAGAGCAGTCATTAGCAACTTTGGGTTGGATTGTTTTTCCAATTATTTCCTGCTAGGATTAGTTTTTAATCTAATATCGTCTCATAGGAATAGATAAGGTGTTCACCAAGAACATAAGAGCTGATCGATATACGTTATAGCTAAGAAACCTGAGAGTGGACTGCCATTGGCAACTTATATTTTGAAAGAAAATAGTTCAAGAAGACGCCCAGGGCATGAGCTCCGCTGCCTCCTAGGGCGGTGGAGTGTGGTTCCCCTGCCCCTTCCTGAAAGCGAGGACCTGCCCTCCTTCCACGACACCACGAGGAGCTCAGGGGTGACTGCTGCATGTAGCGTGTATTGAGGTCCCTTGGGGCTCAGTGTCTAAGTGTGATTCACATTTGACACAGCCTGTTCTCAGGTGTGACGGCAGGGAGTTCCGGGCACTGGGAGTAGGGTAGCAGAAGCTTCTGCTTACAGAGTGACTTAGGGCTTTTAACACAGGGGAGCAACTGGATGAAAGGGGTGGGGTAGGGCACAGAGCCTCCTTTTCCTGTTGTTGATGGGACTCCACAGAGAGACTCCCCTTTTCTGCCACGTGCCCTGGGCAGGGTCACTGAGGTGGGAGTTCACTGTGCATCATTCTTCTCTGGTCTTGTCAGCTGCTTAGTCACAGGGCTTTTTCTGTTCCTCCCACTGAGGGCACTGTTTGTGATTTAGTCATGAAGCCCCACTTGTGATTTTCCCCCTTGCCCTGCTTTACATTCTGATAAGTTCTCATTAAGCATGTGGGAGTTTTTGGAGGTGATTTTGTCTTTGGTTTCATTTCCTTTAAAATGTAGATCTTCTGTGTGTATCTGGGCTTCTGGAGTAGTTTTGGGTTCTGGTTTTGTCGACTGAGGATCTCTGTGTATAGACTTAGCAAGGTGAATGTCATTGACAAGGTTAGTGAGAAAAGCTAGAAAGGAACAGGCTAGACTTTGACTCTTAGCCATCAGTTACCTGGATGAGAGGATTTTAAAAAGAATCCCTTTTAACCATAGAACCACCATTGCAAAGATTTTGGAAAGACATGAAGAAAATCCTCAGAAATGATGTCTACAGCCCCATGGCCTCCTGCTGACTGGTGCAGAGCTTTTCTCCTGTGGTTCCTTGACATGACCCTGTGCAGGATGTCTGCCGAAGTCATCCATCAGGTGGAAGAGGCGCTTGATGAAGACGAGAAGGAGACGCTGCTTTTCCTGTGCCGGGATGTCACCGCAGACGCCGTGCCGCCGAATGTCAGGGAGCTCCTGGATGTTTTAAGTGAGCAAGGCAAGCTGTCGGTGGTGGACTTGGCTGAGCTGCTCTACAGAGTGAGACGGTTCGACCTGCTCAAGCGGATCCTGAAGATGGACAAGGCAGCCGTGGAAGCCCACCTGCACAGGCACCCTCACCTTGTTTCCGACTACAGGTAATTCAGCTCTTCCCAAGGCTGGACTGCGGGGAGGGCGTGAGATGAGCTGGACACCGCCGAGTGACAGCGCCGAGGACAGTCAGGAGAACAGGCACACTGCTTTCTCCACTCTGACTTAGCCCTTCATTCCCTTCAACTCTGTGTCTTCCTAAAACGGACTTGCTTAAAGGAATTGGGTAGGAGATCATAACGGAAGTGGGAGGCACAGATGTGTTTGCACGGTAGAAAGACGAGAAGTGAAGACAGATAGGAAGAACTTAGATCTGGTAATGTTACCGGCTTCCAACACTGTGGCTGCAGTGGTGTTTGATAACTTTCTGTGACGTTTGGGCAATTTCCTGTCCCCAAACAGGAAATGCAAGTCTAACAGTAAGCTTTCTATTTTTTTCAGAACTGTGTGATCCCTTCCCTAACTGATTAAGTTCCGTGGGGTGGGCTCCCTGGGCTCCTTCCCCCCCTCCCTGGGGTCCCTGTCCTCTGAGGCTCTGGAGAGACCAAATTGAACTCTTTTCAGTGAGCCATCTGTGAGTGCCATCAGCTTAAAGGGGAGACAGCCCCTAGGGCCTTATGTTCAGGCACCATTGAGATGCCCCCTCTTTCAGGGCACAGAGTAGGGTTTCGGAGCCTCTGGAAAGACTGAGCTGTTAGGGAAAGGAAGAGAACTTGTAGCCTTAAATGGATGTTTCTTTTTTCTCCAGAGCCCTAGCCTTTTTGTTAATACGGATAATGGGTGTTTGAGGGTGATCTATGTCATTAAGAACCGCACTCCAGGCAGCTGAGAGCTGGGTGGGCTCTGTGGCGTATGAGACCTACCAGCGATGGGCCCTGCAGGCTGCGGCAGGCACCGACCTTCACTGGGGATTTGTTTTCCTCCTTATAAAGTGAAGAAGAGCGCCCACCTTCACAGCTGTTTTAGCATCAATTGTGGTCATTTACCAGGTGAAGTAGGTTTTGCAAACTCTACAGATGAAAGTGATTGTTGGTGTGATTATTCTTGGTTGGTCTTCCACCAGTCCAATCCTCATCCAAGGGCAGTCATTTCCAAACATTTGGAGAGGCCCTGGACTGGGTTTTAGTGAAGAGGAGAGGGCCCTCTGTCCATGACCCCTTTCTTCCTGTGGTGGGTGGAGGTCATTCTCCAGGCCACCTGGGTGAAGAGGCCAGGCAGTTGGAAGGGTGCTAGATTCACTTGTTTGCCTGGTTGGTGGGCTTTCTGGTGTATTGGCATGTGCCTGGTGTTTGGTAAGCTCTACGGCAAATGAGCAAGCAATCCTCCATCCTCAAGACTCTGAGAGTCTACCTGGAGAAACAACCTTGTGAAGAGTGAAGGCAACATCATGGTGATGAGACTAACCCTGAAGGGTGCAAGGCACCAATAGAGTGTGATGGTAATTCCAACCAGAGCAGGAGTGAATGGGTCAGGAGCCAGACATCTACTGTCAGCATCTCCATGAGGCAGATGCCTTTTTCCTTGGGATCCCATGTGTTTCTTGGCCTTAGAATCTTGCAATTCAGTGTTGGGTCCCAGAGCCAACATCACCTGGGAGCTTGTTAAACACAGAAAACAAGGCTACTTTGAATTCTATTTCTGTCTTTCATGTTAGTCATTTGGGTTCTTAACTCATTTCGCTGTAACCTCTGGGGGAGTAGGGGTTCTTCAGGGAAGTTTCCATGCTCTGAGGTGTTTTCAGAGCTGTTAATTAGAAGCAGAGGTGGCATCTCCTAGTCAACATGGAGGAAAGGATGAGTTTTGCTTTCAAATCTCCTTAAGATTTCTTCCTGGAGTGATATAGGCTTTCTGTTTTATGAGTGGGAGGATTGGAGTGGGGTACAAATTCATAGGAAGGGCAAATAACTGATATTTTAATCAACTGTTGGCTCAGAGAAGGCATGGGCTCTTAGAGTTCTCAACAGGACTGGTGTCTGAATTTACCAAAGAAACTTGTGTGGCTTATAGGGTGCTGATGACAGAGATCGGTGAAGATTTGGAGAAATCTGATGTCTCTTCATTGATTTTCCTCATGAGAGATTATATGGGCAGAGGCAAGATAGCCAAGGATAAGGTGAGTATTCCTATTCTTGGTCTGCAATCCTAAGGGCATATCAGAAGTTGGGGCTGCTCCTTATGGCATGCATGGAGAGAGGGAAGCAGGCAATGGGAATCAGACATCTGAGGTGGTTTTTCTTAATAACATAGATTTGCAGAAAATTGGCTTATGAGTTGAGAATAAATAGGGTGATAAGATCTTCTAGTATGGCCTTGGGTGTTTCTGTCATTCCTGGATTTTATCAGAGTGTCTGAGTTCAATACTTGGCTACTGCTCCTGACTCCAGCTTCTTGCTAATGTAGACCCTGGGAGGCAGTGGTGTGGCTGAGTGGGTTAAGTCACTGTCAGCATATAGAAGACTTGGATTGAATGCCTGGCTCCTGTCTTCATCCTGGCCCAGCCCTGGCTGTTGTGTTACCACTGGGGAGTACACCAGTGGATGGGAGATCTCCCTTTCTCCCTCTTTCTCTCTCTCCCTGTCTCTCAAATAAATAAGTAACAATTTAAAAATGTTACTTTAAAAAATGAAAGAAATTCCAGTTGGTCCTATGTGCTATTGCTGATCTAAGGACAGGCTATGAAAAGTCTAGGTCTCTAATATTTGACAATATGTCCTCAAATGGGTTAACCTGCCCCTAAGGGCTCTGTGACTTCATTCCTTAAGAATTTCCTTATGTTCCTCAATGACTATAGTTTTGATTCTGCAATCTGGGGATCTAGAGTGACGGTGTATGCTGTCATTGTCATATGCAAAATAGGAAGGAAACGAACAATGGAACTTCTTGTTCGGTTTTCTGTAATCAACTTCTCTCCCAGTCGTTTACATATATCTAATTATGACTGTTATTTAAAAAATAAACACTTCAGTAACCAAATGTGACTCTCAAAGGAAAGAAAACCAAAAGCAATTGCCTGTTTCTGAAATATGGTTTTTAAACTTCCTGTGGCCTAAGGTAAATGAATAGCAAAATAGCTAAAGCTTGTTGTACTTTTACCTTTCCATAATCCCCGAGTCAAATGAGTTGGGATGTTCAGCCTCAGTTAAAATATTTTAGGAGCTGTAATATGGGAATTTTCCTCATAAAACTTTTCTCCCAGCTTTTCACATCCTCTTTTCAGGGAAGACTTTATTTTTTCAGTGGACTTACCTTTCAATTTCATTTCCATAATCTTTTGAAAAGTTTTATCTCTTTGAGAGGCAGAATGACAGAGGGAGAGACACACAGAGAGATCATTCATCCACTGGTTCACTCCTCAGATGCCCACAACAGCTAGGGCTGGGCCAGGCAGACACCAGGAGCCAGGAGCTCCATCAGGGTCTCTCACAGGGTGCCAAGAACCCAAGTACTTGAGCTGTCACCGTCTGCCTCCCAGGTATGTTAACGGGAAGCTGGATTGGAAGGTAGAGGTGGGAATTGATTCTACACAATTTGTTTTTTTAAGATTTATTTATTTATTTGAAAGAGTTACAGAGAGGCAGAGGCAGAGAGAGAGAGAGAGAGAGAGGTCTTCCATTCTGCCGGTTCACTCCTCAATTGTTCACAACAGCTGGAGCTGAGCTGATCCGAAGTCAGGAGCCAGGAGCTTCTTCTGGGTCTCCCATGTGGGTGCAGGGCCCAAGGACTTGGGTCATTTTTTTTTTTAATGTTTTTAAGCTTTTTACCCAGTGAGAGAAATGCATAGTAGAGTGAGGGCTCTACTTAAAAGAGAGAGGGAAATCTAGATTCATACTGAGTACCAGGAGCCGGCCATGTGGAGGAGCATGCAAGCCAGGGAGCATGGGGCAGGTGGCCCAAAGGCCATGCACTGGGCCATCTTCTACTGCTTTTCCAGGCCACAGAAGAGAGCTGGATAGGAAGTGGAGCAGCCAGGACCTGAACTGGTGCCCATATAGGATGCCAGCTCTGCAGACCGGGGCTTTAACCCACTACTCCACAGCGCTGGCCCCCCTATACACCTTGATATGGGTTGCAGGCAATCCAAGCAGTGACTTAACTTTCTGTGCCACAACACCCACTCTCAGGAGGAGGTCAGCATTTTCCATGTAGTGCAAGCCTGACATTTTAGAAGAGAGTGAACTTGGGAGGATTTTATTTTATTTTTAGTCCTACTCTTTCACCTACTCCCTTAAGACACAAAATGGCCCCCTAGGTATCTATCCCCAACCTAGAAACAGGCTGATGAATGAACACGTCATCATCACTTTTCTGAGCAAAATTCAGGAGTGCTTTGCTCATGGCAGATCTGTCTGGTTTAGGATCTTGAAGGTCACTGAAAGGGGTCATCTTCTCGCAGTTTCTCACTTTATAGCTCATGGGGCTTGGTGGTTGCATTTGGGGCATTTTAGTCAGCTCTACTGACATTTGTTTCTTGGTGGTGGTTTTCTTAGAGTTTCTTGGATCTTGTGATTGAGTTGGAAAAACTAAATCTGGTTGCTCCAGATCAACTGGATTTATTGGAAAAATGCCTAAAGAACATCCACAGAATAGACCTGAAGACAAAAATCCAGAAGTACAAGCAGGCAGGTAAGGAGTTTTGGCCTCGCAGTGGTCTAAAGTATGTCCCCTGTGTACACTTGATATGGTTGGTTGAGATTCATTTGTTGGATGGCTGTGTGGGTGTATGGGATGGAACATGAATAGCCCACTGCCCCCTCTAGCCTGTGGCTGAGAGATCACATCCCTCTCGATCCTTTGTGTCCCAGGTTGGCTGACACTGCTGCCTCTCACCATGACCACAGAGTCTCAGCCCTCTGCGAATTGCCTCCAGTCAGTTCTTAGCATTCTGTTTTCTGCACAGGCAGGCAGAACTGTGGACAGTCAGGGCTTTTAGATACTTGCTGAACCCTACTCCCTTGCTCCAGTATTTGTCCTGATGATCACCATCCAACTCTGGGTAGAGTCACTGGGATTCCACAGCAGCCCTGCATATGCCCCAACTTTTGTAAAACTTCCTTATGGAATAGGGCAGTGCTGATTTTTCCCTTGATAAAGAAGACCAGACTCACGTTGGCCTTCCTGCTAATATAACCCAGCCCCATTGTCTTTTAGCCTCAGCCTCAGCTTGGGCTCTGTTAGCATCTCCCCGCTACCGTAGCATCATGGCTGAGACCCAGTGGTCTACAGCACATTCCCCCACCCACACACACACTCTAGATGACTGATAAAAAGGTCAAGAACAGGAGTGGCATTTTTAGTTCATGCGTGATGACTGGTATTTTTAATTCAGTAAGGTGGCAGAAGGTTTTGGGTATTTTCAAAAATGGTGATTGATGTCAGATTGAGCTATTGTTGTAGATTCACTTGAGAATAATCTATAAATCTTAACTCAAGACTTCTCTTCTGCTTTTATAGCTCAAGGAGTGGAAAGAAATTATACGAATGGTTTCCAAGCATCTCTTCCAAACTTGAATCTCAAAGATTTTTCATATAACTTACTGGTGAGTCTGGAGGAAACTTATGGGATTCCAGCACCAACCAGTTTCAAGCTTTCTTAAAAATCTATGTATTCTCACAGCATGAATGTTGTTTTAGCTATCTGAACCAACTGTGGTAGAAATGTATGTTTGTTTTAAAAATATATGTGACTTCTCTTTACAAAGCTTGTACATATTCCTTGAGATATGTGGAAAGTATAGAGAAATACAAAGAAGGAAAATAAGTCAACTGTGTCCAAAAGACATACGCAAAGACAACCACTATGAATGTTTTGTTGTATTTTCTTCTGGTCTCTTTTCCATGTATGTTTGCATGTGTGTCTTTCCGTGTGGTTCGACCTTTGTTTTCACTGTTCATTTTTTCCTTTGAGTATTTAACTTGTTAAATAAAAATAGATATAGGACATGCCTACGGACAAAGATTCAAAAAGTACCAAAAGAGCTCTTAGTGAAAGTATGTTTCCTCCCTACTCCTGTTGTGTTAATTCCCAGTTCGTTTCCCCAGAATCAGCGTTGTTGCCCAGTTTCTTCTGGAACCTGCCAGACATGGTCTGAGCTCAAGTCTTTTGTTTGTGATGTTTTCTTTTGTGCAGATGGTAGCACGCCATATGATTCATATGCAACTGTTTCTGATCATTATTTTGAATGACTGCATGTGGGTCCATTTCTTAGAAAGAGTACACATGTGTCTAACCCTTTCTTGTTGATGCACATCTCAGTTGTTTCCAGTGTTTTGTTACTATAAAGAATGGTGCAAAATAAATATCCTTGTACCTATATCCTCATGCATTTGCTTTTTACTATTTTAAGTTAATTTTTTCAATTATTTCAGCAAAAGTGATTTTGCATTGAGCAATGAAAGTTTTTTTTTTGATTTATAGACATAAGCATCACAGTCACTTATGATTGTTGTGTTACTATTAGGTACTAACCAGATGTCATCAGAACTTTTCTTCTGTCCATCTTCTATCTTCAGAAGTTATGTCTTTGTGTCAATGTATCCTTATCCCTGCAGAAAGGTGTTTGGAATTTACAGTGAGGACTTAGGCCAGAGGGCAATTTCATGGTTATATTATAAACTCTTTGATAAAATGATATGATGAAAACATTAACTACTCCTGTCCTATCAGTAGCTTCCTGGAGAATATGAGCTATAAAGGATACCACTGAGCAGTAGAATTTCAAAGACAAGATGATGGGAGGGATTATATTGTCCAGTGCTGCCCCAACAGAACCTTGTGACTGTCCACTTCCACCACAGGCAGAGTAGGTGCCAGCCCATCCATGCTCTACCACGACACAGCCAATAACCTGTGTACGAGTCAGTGATGCCTTAGATCGACTGTTTATTTTTTAAAAATAAAACATGCTTTATTTTGTCTTTTTGAGTCCCCATGATACCAAATTGTGAGACAAATCTGGATTCAGATTCGGGTTTTCTGAGTTTCCTTTGCTACTGTCTATCTGATAGAGATTATGCTGTCATTCTTAGTTTAAAAACTGCCACATTCTTACTTTTGTGTTTCTGTTTTGAAAATAAGTTGAGCATACTCATCATTTCTGGGAATTCAGATGCTTCATGTACCAGTTTCTCCTTAAATTTGCTCTATTTAATATGTGACCCCGATCATCGCTTCATTTAACAAGCAGGCACCATGGCATATGAATTTGGTGACTTTCTCGCAGGATTTAGGAGATGAGTACCTAGATGTTAATTCATACAGCACTGTAAATGCCCTTCAGAAATTACAGTGGCAACACATGACACAGGATACCAAGATATTATAGCGTAAAATAGTTGTATGATGCTGAAACATAATACCTTTAAAATGTAGCTTTGATTTGAAGTTCTTTCTTTTGGATAGTGTGTAGAAGTGAATGCATATCCACGTGGGAGACCAGTTTCTAATATGATGAGTCTCTGGCTAAGTCTCTGATTATTAGTAAAATTAAAAGTCAACTTTTATGTTTTTCTTTAGACACACGGACTTAGCTCCAGACACAGGTTACTAGGTAGTGCACATCTCTCTTTGGTTAGGATAGCAACAGAGGAGAGCTGCCATGTGAAAGCTGAGTGTATCAGAGAGTTAACTGTGCGTGGTATGTGTGCCTATCAGTGGAGAAGAGAAAGGGTCCATTCAGTCTTTCCATCTCTGATGGATTCCCCTCTAGCCCTTGGAAGTCGTTTATCAGTAATTCTTGATTATCAACAATCAGGCCCACATGTGGCTTATGTGTGGCTAGGCAATTATAGAGAAAGTTAGCTGGACACTTATTTAAGTGCTTCTGTGTGCTTGGCATTGTGGTGAGTGCTTTGTGCACATTTAATCCTCACAAAATGTCTATAAGATAGATACTGATGGTCACAATGGCCCAGGCCAAAGCTAGGAAGGAGCCAGGAGCTTCTTCCAGATCTCCCACATGTGGCAGGGGCCCAGGTACCTGGGCCATCTTCTTCTGCTTTTTCCAGGCCATTAGCAGGGAGCTGGATCAGAAGTGGAATAGCCAGGACTTGAACCAGTACCCATATGGGATAGTGGCATTGCAGATAGGACTCTACCTGTGACGCCATAAGGCCAGTACCTGTTGTCTTGATTTCATAGATAAAGGCACAGACTCAGAACCAGAAATAACCTGCTCAAGGTTATATACTTAGTAAGTGGCAGAATCAGGAGTCAGAGCCAGTCTGGCCTACAACCCCTACTCTTGACCATTCGTATGTTATCCCTATGTTAAAGGAATACATTGATTCAGTCTCATGCCCTAAATGCTTCTTCCACTTTGGAGCTATTATAGCTACTATACTATAACACTGGGTTTCATTGAGTTGTTTTGAAACATTCCAGTTGCTTAACATGTCTGTATTTTCACTGAACTTTTGCTTTTTAGAAGAAGAGTTACTTGTTTGTTGGCAATGTGAGATGGACTTGGGGTGTTAGCAGTACTTGCTATTCTTTGTTAGATAATTTAACTGTGGAGGTGATATTTTTATGTTTTTCTTGAGCAAGAATCCTATTGAGATATTTAAAGAGGTGTAATATAGTGTGCCTCTGAAAAAATTAACAAGCAATGTTCCTCATTCTTTCTATTTAAAGTTCCAGAATGGGAGAAATAAAGACCAAAGACTTGTGGAACGACTTGGCATTCCAAGTAAGACTGACTTTCATTTGTATTCACTTCTTCTAAATGCTTGATAATTCAAATACAAAACGTTGCCTTTTTATAGTTGGCCATTATCTACATATTGTATTCAAGCCCTCAAAACAAACAGTTGAATTCTTCACACTGACATTCCTAGATATCTATGGGATGAGCTTATTTAAATTGGAACTTTACATTGGAACTCTCTGCCTTATTCTGCCAGCTTCATCATCTTGACTATATTCCTAAGAGATGTGACATTTATTCCTGGAGTGAAGCTATAACCAGATTATGTTAAATATTAACCTAGTCATGATAATAAACTGTGTTAAACCAAACACTGAGCATCAGGAAGAAGGAAGGGCAACAGGTTCTCCTGTAAGCAGTCTGGATACTTTATAGATGACATCCTCCTAAAGAGAAAGAAAAAGTACAACAGAAAAACCTGGTCATTTCCACCTGTATGATCTCTGTCTTCTCTGTTAAAATGTCAGTGTGTGGTTCCATGGCACCATGCTGTAAACACTATTTCTTTGGCATGTCTTGAATCCTCAGAGTTTGGGCCGAGTCTCTGTCTCACACTGATGGGGCAGAAGGTGTGCTTCAGAGTGCCAGAAAGCTACTTACGAGGCCAGAGCTGTGGCATAGTGGGTTAAGGTGCTGGTTAAGTCCTGGCTGCTATACTTCCGATCCAGCTTCCTGCTAATGTGCCTGGGAAAGCTGAGGAAGATGACTCAAGTGCTTGGAAACTCCTGGCTCCTGGCTCCTGCCTGGCCCTGACCATTGCAGCCATTTGGGGAGTGAACCAGAGGCTGGAAGACCTTTCTCTCTGCCTCTGCCTCTCCCCCTCTGTAACTCCACCTTTCAAATAAATAAATAAATCTTAAAAAAAAAAAAAAAGGAAAGAAAGCTACTTACCTGCATTTGCCTGGACTTGGTGTATTTACTAATAAAAGAGCCTTTGATAACTTGGCCATAATCTCAACAGAAGTTTAAAGTAATCAAACCAAGTATTCCTATGAATTTGGATTTGCAAATATCTTTCAATGGAAGGATCATGCTGGTGGTAACTGCAATTTATTGAGCTCTTGTTAAATACTTTAAATTGACAAAGATAAGTCACATATTTTGTGTTTTGTTTATTCTACTAATACATGGGATTATTAAAATATGAAAGATAAAGTGAAATGTCCTCTTAATTCTAAATGTCAGGGATAGTACCTGTAGACTTAATGTCTAAGCATATATATGTATGAGTATATGCACACAAATACATGTTGTTTTTTTTTTTTTCAAAGATTTGTTTAGTTGAAAGAGTTACACAGAGAGAAGGAGAGACAGAGGTCTTCTATCTGCTGGTTCACTCCTCAGATGCCCACAATGGCTGGGGGTTGGGCCAGGAGCCAAGAGCTTCACCCAGATCTCCTATGTGGTTGCCAGGGGCCCAAGTGCTTGTGCCACCTTCAGCTGATTTTCCCAGGCCATTAGCAGGGAGCTGGATCAGAAGCGGAGCAGCTGGGACACGGACCAATGCCCATATGGGATGCTGGCATCACATAGTTTTACCTGCTATGCCACAATACTGGCCCCCAAATATATATTTCCAAGTACATGGAATTAATATTATACGTATTACCTAATGATCCATCCTTCACTTAATATACCCTGTATCTATTTTCATGTCAAATACATAAAGCTCTCTCTTATCCTTTTTAACACTATATAATATTCCATTTTATAAAAAATGATTTATCTATATGAAAGGCAAAGCTATATATAGAGACAGAGAGAGAGAGAGATCCTCCAATATGCTGATTCATTCCCCAAATGGCCGCAGTAGATAGGACTGTGCCAGGCAAAAGCCAGGAGCCTGGAACTCCATCTGGGTCTCCCACATCTGTGGCAGGGGCCCAAGAACTTATGCCTTCCTCTGCCGCTTTCCCAGACACATTAGCAGGGAGCTGGACTGGAAGCAGAGCAGCCGGGGCTAGAACTGTGCTGATATGGGCTGCTAGTGTTGCAGGCAGCTGCCCAACCTGTTATGCTACAACACTGGCCTAGGGCAGTATTCCATTTTATGTGCTATAATCAGTATTCGGTTTCATGTTGGTGGACTTTTAGGTGATTTATAGTTTGGGGCCATTATAAACAGTCATTCAGTAGATATTTTGACTTACGTTTTTGCACTCATGTTTTCTTTTCTTAGAATTAGCTTCTAGAAGCAGAATGGTCATTGAAAGGAGATAGCCAATTATCCCTTAAAAAGACTGCTTCAACTTACACCAGCATTACTATGTGAAAGTGGGCATTTTCCCTGAACTTACCAGTATGGGCACTTCCTTTGCCTGTCTTTCGACATGGTTTCTCATTTTTGCAATAATCTTGGAAGGGAGATACTGCTGTTTCAGTTTAGAGGTTAATAATCCCCTGAGACTCAGGGAAGTAACCTCTCCCATCCCCGAGCTCGCCAGAGACAGCACTGGAGTTTGAGCCCAATCATTTATGACTTCAAAACTGGTGCTTCCTCCGCCTCCCTGGGCTCATACAGTCATGACCTCGACCTCACCAAATTTGCTTTGGGCTCATCTACATTTGCCAGGCTCACTGCTCTCTCACTTGCCGCTGGCGCTCTTTTTACGATCCTTCAGTGTCACTGGGCTGTGGCACAGCGGCCTTCTGTTCTAGGTGGCAGATGCATGTGCACAGCCCCTTCTCGCACTTTCCAAGGCTGTTCCCCTGAGACATTGTCTTTGGTTGCAGCCTCTGTAGTGAGGTTAGTGCGGTCTCCCTGCCCATTAAAAACTCACCAGCCACCTACCTAGTCCTCATCTGGGGTAGGGAAAGGGAGAGACTGCTTTCACTTGCATTTTTTTTCCTACGCAGCCCCTGGGTCATGCGGGGATTTTTATTTCCTTATCAGTCAGGTTCTTCAGTTTCTGGTTGGAACCTTGGGGCTGAGGGTAGCTGGGGAAAGAAGAAATGGCTACAGGAAAGAGAGGGATGAAAACCTGCAACCCAGAGAACCTCGGCCAGCCTGGGTGTGGGCCTCGGCCTCCTGCAGCTTCCTAACTGGCTGTCCTCTCCCCCTCAGGAGCAGTGAAGACGTCCATCCAGGAATCGGCAGCCTTCATGCCTCAGGTAGGGGATCCATGAGCTGACTTGGCCCTGTGTTGTATGCGTGGTTGGGGGCGGCGAATGCTGACTTCTTTAGAATTGTCTGTCCCTTGAGAATTCTTTGTGATACCGACACTCTAGGAGCATGGTTCTCTGGAGAACTCACTGAGCAGGGAACCTCGAGATGTGAAAGTGCATTTTTTTTTTTGCAATCAGTGAACTTCGGAACACAGGAAAATTCCGAAGCGGCACTTCTTGTCTCAGCCCATAAGCAGGGAGTGTGAGTGCCCAGCCCATAAGCAGGGAGTGACAGGACCCTGAACCTTGACGTGTTCTGCGCTCTCCTCAGCGCAACGCCTCTTCTCTGTAAGAGGCAACAGAAAGCCTCCTTTTGTACTCAGTTGGAAAGATACCGCTTGCGTTACCTCAGGTTACCATGGAGACAGAAGACTCGGCTTTCTGTTTCAAATTAATTTTATTCCACAAAGCAAGGGTATGCACTGAGAGACTGCAGTGTTCAAGAAACTGGAACAGTTTGTTTATCGTCAACACATGACCTCACTAGAGGACACGCTTGGTATTAAAGCGAAATGTCAGTCGTGCTGACTTCGTGCTGTATATTCTCAGTGACTCACCTGCCAAAGGCATCTTTGAGGAAATCCAGTAGAAGAGCTGTTCTATGGGCGGGAAGGTACAGGAACAGAGCAGTACCTAAAGGTTTAACAGTCCCTGCCTTCCTTTCCAGCACCCACCAGAAGAGAGATACAGGATGCAGAGCAAGCCCCTGGGGATCTGCCTGATCATTGATTGCACTGGCAATAACGTAGGTACGTGTGGAGGCTGCCCCGCAGGAAGGCACAGCCCAGCAAGCCGCATGCGATCAGGGTGCTCCACGCTGGCTGCCGTAACACACCACACCAGGCTGTGACGTCTGTTCCCTCACTCATGATGTCACAGCCCAAGATGGACTGCATGTGGGGCCCTTTCTTCCATGTGGCCATTCCGTGGCTCTGTCACCTTCTGCAGGGCCCTCTGCATCTGGCTGACGGATGATGGAAGAGAGTGGGTAAGGGCCCCATGATGGATGGATTCCAACATGTGGTTGGAACTCAGTCGCGTGTCCCCAAGGAACTTCGGTGGACACGGATAAGTTGGTCTAGCTGAATGTCAGGAGAAAGAAGCAGAGTTGGGGAACACGTGGCACGGTCTCTGGCCCATGCTGTGTGCTGGGTGAGAGTTTGTGCACTGTGGTCTTGTCTTCCACCCTGGATGCTGTGTCAGGGTAGAGTCCTGGGACCCAGGGGACATTCACAGTGTGGGAGGCACACTGACTTCAGGAATTCTCAGGCGCCCCTTGGTTTCGCCTGTGGACTATGAAGGTTTTCCTGGGGTATGTTAAACATGCATGTTCACTTAGACAGATGTGTGCTTGGGTATCGTCTGCTCCACGTGTCACTTGGTTTTGCTGTCCTTTACTTTGTTTGTTGGCTTGAGTCTTTCTATCAGTCTGTCTCTGTTGTCTGGATCTGAGTTGATTCTTTCGTTTGGTTGTATTTGGATGCCTGACTTAAACTAAATCATCAGTGAGAATAAGAGCTTAGGTGTGCGGAATAACGTTTAATTATTTAGCCCTTCATTAAAAGGATTGATCATTGTATTTCCACATTTTTCTAATTTTTCAACGGTCTCTTAGAGTGAGTCAGAAATATCTTTCAGGCTCACTTAAAATATTGCTGTTAGGAGTTTTATAAAAAGAGTGCCAAAGAGAAGGTCAAATTAGCAAATATGAGGCTGAATTTCCCAGGATTTCAGCTATGACCCTGCTCTCACACCCTATTTTTGGATAGTGAGAAATGCTGTCTCCTCAGCTTTAGCAACGTGTCCTTTCTTTTAACCATTAGTGCACAATGAAAATGGGGAAGTGTTTTCTCAATGAGTCACTTCCTCTCTTAAAAGAGATCGTGTATTTGTCCTCCACTTCTGATGGTAGTCAGTTTTGTTTCATTCACCAGTGGACATGGTGCTGTCGTATTTATATCTATTGTATCAGGAGAATCAAAAGATAAAGCTGTCACCTGCTGTGAGTCACAAAACTCCATCATTTGTGGCTGAAATCCAGGGTCTATGCTTGCTTTCCTTGCTGGATTGTGAGCCCCTTGTGGGCAGGGGCTAAATGTGTGTTTCTCTCATTGTAAGAGCAGGGGCAGAGTTGGGACATGACAGCACGGGTTTGGCTCACAGCTCTTCCGTGTCCTATCTTGTGACTTTGGGTGACTTCCCAAGCCTCTTTGAGGCTCAGTTTCTCTTTGATAAAGTGGGTTGATAATAGGCCCTACTTTAGCAAGCCTGGGCAGAGTGAGTCCATATTTATAAAGGGCTTAGAACCATGTTTGGCACATCATAGTCATGTACTAAATGCCAACTAACATTATTTCCTGATCTTGCTCATTTAATTTTATTTTTGAAAATCTAATCTATTTTCAAAATCTAGTTTAGATTTTGAAAATCTAAACTAATGGATGTTCCCATCCACTAGTTTACTCCATAAGTATTTGGCAATGACTAGGGAAGCTGAAGCCAGGAACTAGGAATTTAATCCAGGTCTCCATATAGGTGGCAGGAACCCAACTACTGAAGTACCACTGCTGCGGCCTAGGGTCCATATCAGTAGGAAGCTAGAATCAGGAGCTGAGCTGGGACTTGAACCCAGACAGTCCCATGAGGGATGCAGGTGTTCCAGATGGTGGCTAGTTCGACCAATAGTTCTACCGCCTGCTCTTGCTTGTTTGGTTTTGGTTGCAAACCCTCAGCAAGAACTCAGTGTGGCTTTGTCTTGCTGCATGGAATCTGCCCCCAGACAAGTGAGGGACCAGGAATCTGAGGATGGAGGTGAGTGCCATGTCCCCACAGTCTGTGGCACACTGGAATGGAGATGATGACTTGAGAGATAAGTAAGAAGGGCAACATTCTGGGGACAATAGCTGCCAGTCATCAGTCTGGCAGAGGAGACTCCAAGTAAAACACCTGGGATGCAGGGAAAAGAGAACTGATAAGGAGAGGAAGATGGAAGAGGGGAGTAGAATTGGAGGTGGAGTTTGGGCCCTGTGTCTGTCTTTGGCCCAGGGTGTGAGCAGGTGTTGGCTGCAGATGTGCGGCTCCCATGGCCACTGATGTGTGTCCACGTGGGCCCTGACAACGAGAAGGGCGGCTCTAGGCAGCAGGTCCTTCCTGGTTAACAGAGCCCTTCCACATTCAACATGGAGGATGTTCAACATGAAGATGGAGTGCTGGGCAAGAGTGGGCCCTGAAGGGGCTGCTGGGTGCTCAGCACTGCGTCTCCCCTGGGAATCAGGGTTCTCTAGACTCCACCCCTTTCTGTCTCAGGGAGCAAAACAAATAGCTGGGCTTGAGACGTCTTGTAAGATCTCCCAGGCTCAGGTGGCTAATCAACAGGTGAGAAAGGAGACAGTGCATTTTCACTCCCATTGTGTCGCAATTCTCAGGCCAGAACTCCCCAGTGCAGCCGCCCAGCAGGGGAGTGTTAATGATTATGAAGTGGAAAGATAGAGGCTCCTCTTCCCACACGTGTCCCCCCCCCCCCCCCTCAGGCCTCTAGCTCTTGAGTTTCCTCTCCCAGGGATTTGTCCATGGAGGACTCTGGCTTGGAATCCTGTTTTCGGTGGAAAGTGCTTGTTGTTCCATGCCACACTTTATTCCTTCTTTTTCATCTTATCAGCAGTCGAGGGCCTCACCTGAGTGATTATGTGGTGTTTCCTCTATCTGTGTAACTTTGCCATCTGGTTAATGTTGAATATTCGGGAGGAGTGCAGGAGTCAGATAATGAAGAGGCAGACAAGATAATTGCCAGTTAAAATAAGGAAATGAAAGAAACTAGCAGGGGTGTGAGAAGACTAACTTGGAGGTGGTAATGATCAGAGAATATGAATTATTAAAAATCTAGCCATGGGGCTGGCGTTGTGGCACAGCCACCTGAGATGCTAGCATCCCCTGTGATCGCTGGTTCGAGCTACTTCCGGCCCAGCTCCCTGCGAATGCGCCTGGGAAAGCAGCAGAAGATGGCCCAAGTGCTTGAGCCCCTGCCACCCACATGGGAGACAGATGGAGATCCAGGCTGCTGGCTTCTGCCTGGCCCAGCCCTGACCATTGCTGCCATTTGGGGAGTGAACCAGCAGATGGAAAATCTCTCTCTCTCTCTATGTGTGTGTGTGTGCTTTTTGAATAATAAAATATATTTTTAAAAATCTCCCATGTGCTAGGTACTTTCCTAACTGCCTCACATGAATTCTCTTTTAGTCCTCATAGACAATACTACAAGATAGGTGCTTGTGTCCATTTCCAGCATGGGCAAGCAGAGCAGTGAGCTGCCTCCCCAGCGTCTCTAATACTGAGAGAGCTGGGAGTCCAAAGCTCGTCTCCAAACCTATGCTTTTAGCTACTTTGCTTTAATGTAAATTCCACAAGGCGGGTGCATTTTATCCGTGCCTTACACATTGTGTCTCCAGGAGCTGGCACAGAGGCATTCAGTACATATTCATGGGTAAAAGAGTGAATGAATCTGCTCTCCTTGTAGCCATACATTTCTTAAACCATTCCTTTTGATCTTTAAATTTCACACACTCTCTTGTACCTATCTTCTCCTTCTCTCCTCAAAGAAAAAAATCATACCTCTATATTTTAAAAAAGATTTATTTTTATTTGAAAGACCAACTTAAAGAGAGAGAGAAGGAGAGAGAGAGAGATCTTCCATCTGCAGGTTCACTCCCCAAATGGCTACAATAGCCAGGGCCAGGGCAAGCAGAAGCCAGGAGTCTAGAACCCCATCTGGGTCTCCCACATGGGTAGCAGAAACCAAATCAGTTGGGGCATCTTCCACTTCTTTCTCAGGTGCATCAGCGGGGAGCTGGCTAAGAAGTGGGGCAGCTGGGACTCCAACTGGCACCCACATGGAATGCTAGTGTTGCAGGCAGTGGTCTAACCTGCTATACCACAACTCTGGTGCCTAAAATCAAACCTTTATTCAAAGAGTCTGCAAATTCCCTAATGTTTATAGGTTTATCCCTTCCTTTGTCCAGTAAGTGTTTATTGAGCATCTGCCTTGTGCAAAGTAAGGTTGGCTCTGAGTGAAGCACATATCAAAGCAGTGAGGCAGAGCCTGGTGTCAGGGCCATGTTAGGAGGGTAGGTATGGTTATTCTTTGGTGGGTCCTTCTCAAAAAGAATCCTTAGAGAGCTTAGGAACCCCTTCTTGAGGCAGACATAAGCACTCGGGGATTTGGGGTTAATGGTCTCAGTTTGGCAGAAGTTAAAAACCAGTCCTTTGTGTGCCGTGTTTGCCAGTCACCCAGCAGACTAGGCCTGTGCTGGCCCATGTGTGCGTGCCAGACCTTGTAGTCTTGTTAGGAATGTGGAAACCAATGTCTTACGTGCCTGGCAGATGGACTTTGGAGCTTGGCCTGAAGCTGTGGTGGTTTTGGAAGCTTCCAAGTAAAAGATGATGTTTGCAGATTGTATGAGGAAGTGTTTTTTTCCTCATTGGCTATTTCTGGAAAGCTTGAAAAATTTCCTGTACTTTGTACACAGGCTAAGACTTAGATTTTTCTAGTAGACATTGCAAATTTCCATTAGCTGATTAAGTAAATTTCACCATATATATATATATATATTTAAACATTTATTTATTTATTATTTGAAAGGCAGAGTTAGAGAGAGAGAGAGAGAGAGAGAGAGGTCTTCCATTCAATGGTTCACTTCCTAAATGGCCACAATGGCTGGAGCTGAGCAGACCCAAAGCCAGGAGCCAGGGGCTTCTTCTGGGTCTCCCATGTGGGTGTGGGGGCTCATGCACTTGGGCCATCTTCTACTGCTTTCCCAAACCATAGCAGAGAGATGGGCCACAAGTGGAACAGCCAGGACTCAAACCAGTGCCCATATGGGATGCTGGCACTGCAGGCAGAGGCTTTACCTGCTAGGCCACAGCGGGAGCCCCTCAACTTCATCTTCTATGGTTTTTCAGATTTATTTATTTATTTATTTATTTGAAAGAGCAATAAAGAGAGGGGGAGAGACAGACAGAGAGATATCTTCCACCTGCTGATTCATTCCTCAAATGGCCACAAGGACCAGGGCTGGGCCAGGCCGAAGCCAGGAGCCAGGGAATTTTTCCAGATCTCCCATGTGGGTACAGGGATCCAAGCACTTGGGCCATTCTCTGCTGCTTTGCCAGGCACATTAACAGGGAGTTAGATTGGGAGCGGAACAACCAATGGGTACCTGTAGGGGATGCCAGCGCTATGGGCAGTGGCTTAACTGGCTACTGCAAAATGCCGGTCCCTGCTATGCTTACTAATCTACTGAAAGGTCTGAGAATTTTCCTGTAAAGAAACTCCTTTTGGCCTTGTCACCCTTACATTTCCCATATACCTTTTGACCTTGGGACCACGGAGAATATCCTGCCCACCTTGTGTTCTGCTCCTGTGCTTGGTAGTGACTCCAGCTGGGTTCACGGAGGATACTCAGCAGATGACTACACATGAACTGGAGCAGCAGCCCCCCTTTCTCATTTCTCCTGTACCCTTATTTAACTTTGATAGAAAGCGTCAGCATACATGTGCCTTCATTAGACCAAAATAAATTCTAAATTAATGAATGAGTCCATGCCAGCTCATGACTGTATTTGGCTTTGGCAGTTTTACCTCCATAGCACCCAAACCTTTGAGTAGCACTGACCCTGCCCTTTCGCTAATAAGCCCTGTGCTAACTACAAGGCTGGATGTCCCCTCTCCCCTACCATTTCACCCAGTTATTTTCCAAAGAGTAGTTGAAACTTACAGAATCGGGGCTGTGTTGGGGAAGGGGTTTCCAGGGTGTGTAGAAGGAGAAGTGGGACTTGCTGCAGTCTGTTCAAGTTTTATTTTCCCTACTCAGCACCCACGTGTTTCTTCCCCTGTGTGTGGTCACGGCCATTTTCGGTCATGGTTTTTGGCTTCACATTCAGCCTTAGTCTCCCTTCTCCCCCGCTCCTGTTTGATCAGGTACGGATTTTTCTTCCTGGGACTTCAGAGTCCCATCCCTCCTTAGCCTGCCTCCTCAGGGTCACTCTCCTTCAAAGCTCAGGCAAGTTCAGACCTAGGAGAAGGGGCTTAACCCCAGCAGCCAGGACTTCAATTCAGATCTTGTAATTCTGAGACTGGTTCCTCTTTCGCCCTGTGCTCACTGCCTGCGGCCAGGGCCTCTCCAGCCAGGACCCACAGGGAGCCCAAATAAAGCAAGGAGCCAGAAGGGCCTGGAACGTGCTTGTCCCGTCCGTCCCTGCACACCGTCACAGAAAGGGAGACCCTGGTGACTCTTCCCTTCAAGGGCTTCGGTCAGGGAGGAAAGAGAGAGTTTGGAGGAAAGTGAACCAGACCCAGATAACCAGGAAGCCAAAGAGCTTTGAGCCTGGTGTTTCCCTGTTTGCTTCTGCCCCCTAGAGGAGAGAATATTACATGGTCCTTAGACGTGTTGAGCCCTGCACAGCAAAGCAGTAGTGACGGGAATGGTGTCCCAGTTCTGATTCTCTCATTGTCCTGTAACCACCTGAGCATGGGACTGGCCAGTGGAGCCCTCAGAGGAGATGGCTGGGAGACAGTGCAGCCAGGCCTTTTCTACCCCAGGGAGAGTTCAGGAGGGCGAGGGTGTCACTTAATAGGCTGTCAGCAACCTGTCAACCCAGTCCCCCATTTCCTTATGATGCTTGTTGGTTATAGGTGTACAGATGCTAGCACCTTTTTTGTGTCTCTTCATTATTACTCGGTGTCATAATTCCATTTTCTTCACCCTTAACTATGGGCCAGGCCAAGGGGCACAGGACAGAGCCTACCTGTAGACTTAGATCGTGCTGATTCTCATTTTCCTTATGCCAGGAGTGGTCACAAGACTTCCCCAGTGAGTTCCCTACCAACCACTGCCACATGGAGTGGCTTTATTTGTGCTGTTGAATCCTCAGGGCATCTCGTGGCATGGTTGTCATCACTTTTATCTAAATCTGGGCGATCCCCTTTGGGAAGGTCGTGCAGCCCACAATGTGTTCAGGTCGGCACTGGAAGGCAGGTGTGTGACTCAAAGTCTGCTCTTTCTGCTGCCTTACACTTAGTCCTTTTTCTGTGGCCAATAGCACAGTACTGCAGACTGGGGAGGCTTGAATGAAAAGAGTTTCCTTTTGGCTCATGGTTCTGGAGGTCTGAGGTTGAGAGGCCACATCTGGTGATATCCAAATGGTAGCATCCTGCCTCTCAAGGCAAAGTCAACCCAGGATTCATGGAAACTAGGAGAAGGGCCTCTGGGGGAAGAATAGGGGATCTTGGCCAAGGCCACACTGCTTAGGTCACACTGCATAGGTCACACCGGGAAACAGGTCATGAGAGAACTTGGGACTCTGGAAATGGTCACCACTTAGATCCAGGAGTCCCCGTCTCATCCCACAGCAGATGGAGGTCAGGGAACGCGTGCGTCTCCACCACTACAGCCATTGGGACCTAGGCTTGGAACTGCAGTCCGCAGACACACCCATCTCTGCATCCTTGGGTGTTGCATTAATTTGAGAAAGCACCTTTGGGAAAAAATCCCGGTTTGTTCTGACTGGAGAGAAAAAGGTTTTGTTCTGCCTTGGCTTGATGGACTTAAATGTGCGCAATCTTTGCCGAAGGCCAGGAATGGTGATGGTGTCTGGGGATGCAGGTGCAGCAGGGAACCGATCACGGTCGGAGAACTGGGGACGTGAAAGTCAACATCTTTCTTCCTCCTCCCTCCCTGCCTCTCTCTCTTTCCCTCCCTCCCTCCCTTCCTCCCTCCCTCCCTCCCTTCCTTCCTTCCTTGATATTATTTATTTATTTGAAAGTCAGAATTACAGAGAGGGGGAGAGAGAGAGAGAGAGAGAGAGAGAGAGAGAGAGAGAGAGGTCTTCCATCCATTGGCTCACTCACCAAATGGCTACAACAGCTAGAGCTGAGCTGATCTGGAGCCTGGAGCTTCTTCCTGGTCTTCCCACATGGGTGCAGGGGCCCAAGGACTTGGGCCATCTTCCACTGCTTTCCCAGGCCATAGCAGAGAGCTGGATTTAGAAGAGGGGCAACCATGACACAAACCAGCGCCCATATGGGATGCTGGCACTGCAGGCAGTGGCTTTACCCGCTGTGCCACAGCACTGGCCCCAACATTTTTCACATTTCAGGTTGATTGTGTCCCTCCTACCCATTTCTCAGGCCCCCTGTACATCACACAAAATCAAAAACAGCTTAACTAACGGAGATGGGTCCGAGCCTAGGAGTCCCCTGCAGGTCTTTTTCTCTTGCCTCACTCTAGTGTTGTTTTCTGTGTTTGTTTTCTCCAGAGGCTCTTCAAAACACCTTCGCTTCCCTGGGCTATGAAGTCCAGCCCTGCTCGGCTCGCCGTGTGGATGACGTAATCCGGACTCTTGGCCAAGTGGCCTGCATGCCCCAGCACCGAGACTATGACAGCTTTGTGTGTGTCCTGGTGAGCCGAGGATGCTCCCAGAGCGAGTTCGGAGTGGACGAGAATCACTCGGGGTTCCCTTTGCATGGCATCAGGAGGATGTTCACGGGGGACTCATGCCCTTCTCTCATAGGGAAGCCAAAGCTCTTTTTCATTCAGAACTATGTGGTGTCAGAGGGCCGGCGGGAAGACAGCAGCCTTCTGGAGGTGGACGGGCCGGCAGTGAACACAGTGGAAGCCAAGGCCCCGCAGCCGAGACCCTCCATGGTTCACCGGGAAGCTGACTTCTTCTGGAGCCTGTGTACTGCGGACGTGTCCCTGCTGGCTCGGTCCCCTGGCTCACGGTCCATGTACCTGCAGTTCCTCTCCCAGAAACTGGGCCGAGAAAGGTGAGCCCCGTGGAGGTGGCTGGTCCTGCACCGTGTGCTTATGTCTTGCTCACACCGCTATGCCGTGCTGATGCCCTTCTCTTCAACGAGAAAGAGGGATTTTTCCTTCCCCAGTGGGATTGCCTTAGGAATATGGTGTGGACGTGGCTTAACTTATGAATACGTCATGTAAGTTCGTAGTTTGGGTATTTTTCTTCAAAATTAAAAAGTTAAAAAAAATTTGGGAGGCAAAGAGAGAGACAGATATTAAGAGCACTCCTATCTGCAAGTTTCACTCCCCAAATGCCTGCAACAGCTGGGATTGGGCTGGCCTGGGCTGAAGCTGGGAGCTGGGAATTCAACCCAGGCCCCCCATGTGGGAGGCAGGGACCCAATTACTTGAGTCAACATGACTGCCTCCCAGAGTGCACACGCGCAGGAAGCTGGAGTTAGGAGCAGAGCCGGGACTCGAACTAAGGCGCTCTGATATGGAATATGGGTATCCCAACCCGTATTTTAACAGCTGGGACAAATGCCTGTGCCCAGATCAAGACATTTTTAAATTTTTTTTATTATGATAAAAGCAATTCATATTCCTGGTAGAAAACATTCCTAAAACATAGATACTGAAAGCAGAATGTGACAAGCAGTTATAATCCTACCTAGTCGAACTAACCTCTCTTAACTAAGCCTTCTAGATCTTTTTGTGGATACCTGCACAGATATAATTATGATTTTAAAGCCCAAGTGGAATCGTGTTACTTCACCACCTGCTTTGAGTTTGCTTATTGGTTACATCACACACATCACAGGTCAGATTTCAAAAGCATCCTTTGAATGTCTCCAGAGTAACCCGTGACACGACTATAGCTTAATTTGCTTGACCAGTCTTCAATTGTCGGATAGTGTTTTGCCGTAGCAGAGAGCTGGGTCAGAAGGGGAGCAGCCGAGACGTGAACCGGAGCCCATGTGGGACGTTGGCAACGCAGGCGGCGGTTTCACCCACTACGCCACAGCGCCCGCCCCCAAGTCTTGTTAAACACAATAGTTCTCCCGCCCTCTTTCTGTGAGGTCTCACTCTCTGTGGTTTCGGTTAACTATGGTCAACCTCATGAGGCCTGAGAGTATTGAATGGAAAATCCCACAAAGAAGCAACTATAGGCTTTATTTTTTTAAAATTATTTTATTTTATTTTTTTTTTATTTAATGAGCATAAATTTCCAAAGTACAGCTTATGGACCACAATAGCCTCCTCCCCCCCGTATCTTCCCTCCCACCCACAATGCTCCCCTCTCCCACTCCCTCTCCCCTTCCCCTTCACATCGTGATTAATTTTCAATTATCTTTATATACAGAAGATCAATTTAGCGTATGTTAAGTAAAGATTTCCACATTTTGCTCCCACACAGAAACACAAAGTATAAAATACTATTTGAGTACTAGTTATAGCATTAATTAAACACCTAAGAGTAATTGTGTATTAATTACAGAGTTCAACCAATAGTTTTAAGTAGAATATAAAATGCATCTTTTGTATTGTTGTGGCTTCCCCCCCGACCTCCCTCCCTCCCGTGGCCCTCCCCTCACCACTCCCTCTCTCATCCTGCCTTTCATCACGTTTCATTTTCAATTACCTTCATATATTGAAGATCAACTTAGCAACTATAGGCTTTAAATGACTGATTATAGCATACTGTTATAATTCTTTTATTTTATTATTAGTTGTTGCTAATCTCTTATTTTGCCTTATTTATAAGTTAAACTTTATCATTGGTATAAATGTATGTGTAAGACAAAAACGTGGTATACACAGTGCAGGGTTTGCTACCCTCTGTGGTTTCAGACATCCACTGGTGCTCTTGGCTTGTGTTCCCTAGGGGATGAAGGGGGACTATTGTACACATTTTTAATGTTACTAGAAAGAATATGTCAATGACCTGGTTTCCATTTAAGCTGACTGAAGCCACATGTACCTCAACTCTCAGGTTAATTGGCTTGTTTCATTGGTTCCTAACTACAATGTAAAGCGTCTCCAAGCTACTTATCAAGTGCATTCTGGCTGTGGCTGTGAGGACCCCATGAATGACCTTGTGGCCTTCTCTCCCCAGTTCCCCCAGGTGTGGCATGGCAGGAATGGGGAGCCTGTAAAAGGATCAGCCCAGTCCTCCAAGGCAGATCCTCCGTGGGCCAGGGGAATTATTGCCTTTTACATCCATCATGCATTTGTGTAAGTGACCCAGGCTGGGTATCACCTGGCTGCTGTGTCCACAGAGCGAAACTCAGCTGCCCTTTGGGGACACAGTCTGTGGTCCTTGAGCCAGAGTGATGTCAGTTGTTGAGATCATTCACAGAGTGGCTTCTAGAGCATTTAAAAAGGAACAGTTTCAAAAAACTTCACGCACGTCTGTTGACTCATTTCACCCTAATGACAATCTGTCTTCTCGTTGGTATTTGCATGGCATTAAAGCTTCCCTTTCTTGTTGCCTCCAGAAATCGCCCACTCCTGGATCTCCACGTTGAACTCAACAGCAAAGTGTATGATTGGAACAGTCGCGCTCCTGCTAAGGAGAAGTACCACGTCTGGCTGCAGCACACTCTGAGAAAGCAGCTCATTCTTTCTCACCAATGAAAAGCCAAAAGCTGTTCTTAGTTCCATGTCCGAGAGAGAGAGAGAGAGAGAGAGAGAGATCTTCCATCCACTGGTTCACTCCCCAAATGGCTGCAACAGCCAGTGTTGCGCCAATCCGAAGCCAGGAGCGAGGAGCTTCTTCCCGGTCTCCCATGTGGGTGCAGGGCCCAAGCACTTGGGCCAACCTCTACTGCTTTCCCAGGCCATAGCAGAGAGCTGAATTGGAAGTGGAGCAGCTGGGACTCAAACTGGTGCCCATATGGGATGCCGGCACTGTAGGCGGTAGCTTAACGTGCTATATCTCAGCACCCGCCCAATATATTATATATTTTTAAAATTGGCTTTGGCGGATGTGCATCTGTGTGCATTTATGTATGTTTTGCCACAGTTGTGTCACTGCGGGTTAAAAGAGTGGAAGGGCAGTTTTCAGACTCCATGACCAGATATTCCTACTTGAAAAGTTTTTTTTCTGTTGTTGTTTTCATGTAGGAAGGACCCTTGAGAGTTCCTTTACCTGTAGCCTACAGACATCAGTAGGAAGTAATGTGTAGCCTACAGACATCAGTAGGAAGCCACTATATTTATTTATATTATATTGTACTTTGATGTTTATATAAATTGCCAAGAAAATATAAATAAAACTTAATAAATTTCACAGATTAAACTTTTGTTTATAAATATTGATGGCAAATGTAATGATATACTTTATTCATTCATTCAAAAGCACAAGGCTAGTATATTGGATTTTCTTAAAGGTCTTAAACACATTGCATATAGATGGATGCATTTTTCCAATGATTACCTAATGATCAATACATTTGGTTACCAAAGTAAGTGTATACTGTGTTTGGCTTTATTTCTTAATTTGCTTTATAGTCCTATTCTTTTGCAGGTTTACATTTCAAATTCTCTGAGGTTATGGCAGGCAGGAGTTGATAGTCTATAAACCAGAGATTAAGATACAAAATGTGATTGAATGTGTTTTACAAGTTGGCTTGGCTGAGTCCATCATCTGGTTAGATGAGCTGCTAGATTATATCCGTTATCTTGGGAGCTACCAACTGCTGAAATTATCCACTTTGACCCATCAGATATGCTTTATTTTTTTCCTGACCTCATTTCTCTCATGTATTTTTAAAAAGATCTTATTGCATATGTTTGAGGCTTGCAACATGATGGTGAGAGATACACAGATAGTATCTGTATAGTATCTGCTCCAGTGGGGAAGCAGATCACTTTTCTATCCTCTCATATCATTACTTCCTTGTGACAAGGACACCTGAATTCTATATAACAAGAATCCCTAATCCCATACAATTTTATTAACCTTAGTCCTCCTGTTATACTTTAGACCTTTAAACTTGTTCACTTTATTTGTATGTATTCTTATCAGAGTCTAACCTCTCTACTTAAAAATAAAAAGTAATCATATGGTCTTTTGTATTGTCTGAGCCTTGAATTCTGAAAATCTTTCACATTATGTGCACCTTCTTGGCTCTGCATGATTAACTCTTCTATCATTCAAAGTATTTTAGATACAAGTAATGGAAGATGTAACACAACACAAAGATCTATTTTGAATGTTTGTTTAATCTCATTAACCAGGAAGTCCAGTGGTAGGGGGTAGTTGCTTTGTTGGTTAATTTATTGGCTCCGGGCCGGCGCCGTGGCTCAGTTGGTTAATCCTCTGCCTGTGGCGCTGGCATCCCATATGGGCACCAGGTTCTAGTCCCGTTTGCTCCTCTTCCAGTCCAGCTCTCTGCTGTGGCCCAGGAAGGCAGTGGAGGATGGCCCAAGTGCTTGGGCACCTGCACTCACGTGGGAGACCAAGAGGAAGCACCTGGTTCCTGGCTTCAGATCGGCATGGTTCCAGCCGTGGTGGCCATTTAGGGGGTGAACCAATGGAGGGAGGACCTTTCTCTCTGTCTTTCTCTCTCACTGTCTATCTGTCAAAAAAAAAATTATTGGCTCCAATGATGTCATCAAGGACTTGATCTTTTTCACCTTTTCTCTCTGCAACCACATCATCTTGGCCTTTGTTTTCAGTCATCTAATGGCTGCAAGACGGTTATGGGTCCAAGTATGACATCCAAATGTCAGAAGAGAAAGCATGTCTTCCTTCTGTCTCAAGCTGAAAGGAAAATTTCCCCAGAAGTGCTCTTTCCCTTCACCTCTCATTGGCTACAGTCGCAAGATGTGTCCATCCTTAAACTGGTCACGACAGGGGTTGTGGCATGGTTGTGCTTGGCTTATATCAACACAGATTCAGTCCCTTGGAACTGAGGAGAGATTCTGTCTCCCTGAGGTGCAATGGTCTTCACAAGCTGGGGTCCTGTGGGGAAGTTTGAAAAAGTGGGGTATGGCACCTGCTGTGGGGTAGACAACCATAGTCGTCCCAGAAGGGCGAGAACACCGAAACATTGATTAAACTGAAGCACACGATGATTTTCCCAACTTGCAGAGGAAATCAGCAGTAATACCAGGTGCAGCATGTGAACAACCAGTCTGATGATCTGGTGTTCTTCAGAAATTAGAACAAATGTTCGTAATGTGCAGCATGCATTCCAGGGCAGGCATCCTACACCTCTCCCTGCTGTTTGTGAAGGTCATTGTCCTACCTTTCCAGGCCCATCCTCTCCCTGCTGTGGCCCGTGGCCCATACCATGCCTTATCCCATCTGCCTGGCGTGGGGAAAATTTAGAGCTTGGCAAATGAGCATCTTTGTTGCCTTTCCTTCCCTCTTTTTACACAATCATTTTGAAAAATTATGTTGTATTGTCTATTTCTTTACTTTTTGCCACTTTTCTTTTTTGATGTTGGATTCTGCTGTTTTTATACCATCAAGCATCAGGCAATCCCCCAATCCCAATGAGAAGACTACTACTTGTAATTACTACTTGTAATTCTTTGTGACTTTTGCTCACTAGCATGTGGTATGGTGTGGAGGGAAGAGAGGTTGTGGTTTCAAGCTTAGGCTGACCCTGCCTCCCTTGCCTACCTCATAGAATTGTTCTGAGGATGAAGTGAGAGATTCTTTATGACTATGTCTTGCTAGACCATGCCATTAACCCACATTCTGGAGGGGCTGCTTTGGAAAGGTGGAATCAAACATGGCATAGCAGATAGGATTTGGGTATGTTGAGATGGAATAGAGAACGTGTTGTGAGAGAGAAAACAAGTCAACTGAGGGACAAACAGCAATACAGGGCAAGCTGAGGAAACCTTGGGTGTAACTTAGCACGTATGAGGAGGTGTGAGTAGGAAGGTATGAGTCGCAGGCTGAGAGATGGCTGGAGTCAGAGGGTGGAGTGCCCTGAAGGTCCCCATCTTTTAACTTTAGCCCGTCTTCATGTAAGTTATTTTTCTTATTTTAATAGTAGAATCTTCGATTCTTTCTTTGCTTCTTAAAAATGCATTCATTTATTTGATGGGTAGAAAGAGAGAGCGAGAGCGAACTCTCATCTACTGGTTCACTGCCCAAATGCTCACAATGGACAAGGCTGGACTGGGTCAGAGCCAGGAGGTGGGGAAGCCAGGAGCTCAGTCCAGGTCTCCCACGTGGGTGGCAGTGAGCCAACTATTTGAATCATTAGCTCTGCGTCCCAGGGTCCCCATTAGCAGGAAAGCTGGAATCAGGAGCCAGAACCAGCAGTCAAACCCAGGCCTTCCAATGTGGGACACGGTGTGCTAGCTGGTGTCCTAACTGCCGGGCCAAATGCCTCCCTCCTCTGGAACTTTCTCTAAAGCTTTTGTACATGAGCACTTGATGATTAAAGGCTCTTCTTACTTTTCACTGAGCATAGTTTTTAATTAAATATTTGAGATAAACTTAGAATTACATATAGATAAAATAATGAGTAATCCAGATTAAATAAAATGTTCTAATATATATATATATATATACGTATATATGAATCATATCATTTTAAGAGGCAGTACTCCTAAATAGTCATGTAAAAGAGATGAGGGGATGAAACTATTTCAAACCTCACAGTAGCCTGCCCAATAACTAGGCAAATGTTCAGATGAAAGATTCACTAACTGAAGTTTTATGAGTGGACAGTGAGAGAGAGAGAGAGAGACAGAGAGAAAGGTCTTACTTTTGCCGTTGGTTCACCCTCCAATGGCCGCCACGGCCAGTGCGCTGATCCGAAGCCAGGAGCCAGGTGCTTCTCCTGGTCTCCCATGCGGGTGCAGGGCCCAAGGACTTGGGCCATCCTCCACTGCACTCCCGGACCACAGCAGAGAGCTGGCCTGGAAGAGGGGCAACCAGGACAGAATCCGGTGCCCCGACTGGGACTAGAACCCGGTGTGCTGGTGCCACAGGCAGAGGGTTAGCCTATTGAACCGTGGCGCCAGCCTGTAGCTGTCAAAATTTTATATCCATACATAAACATCATATATACACATAAAGTTTATATAGTATATATAAAATAAAATGTTATCTAAAATGAGAACCTATATCAGCTGAGCTATTTTCCGCTTATTTTACGTGAGCTATCTCATGTAATCCTCAAACCAGCTTTATGAGGTAGGTGTTACTGTCCTCATTATTGTATTAGATGAAGAAAATGAGGCAAAGTGATATTGAGTAGCTTACATGCGGTCACCTCGCACCAGTATGTGAACTCAAGCTATGCAGAGTCTTTTCACTACACTTCGAATCACAATAACCAGTTCTTGGGGTGACTTCTACAAAGCATGTTACAGCACAGGAGATGCTCATACAATAATCTTCCCAGGACAAGCACCAAATACCATATCTAGTATGTTTATAGTAAATGTCCTTAAAATAAAAATGAAAAATTTCTTTCCTAGGAAAACAAAGTCTACAAGGCTGGCAGAAGTGTAATGGGTGTTTTTGCTTTTCTTTTCCAAATTCTCGTCTCTGTATTTGAGGATACTGCTGCCTATACCAAAGCCAAGCTCCTTCCATTTGATTCTGAGTGTTGGGGGCTTGTTGCTGACGAAGCCCCCTCTCTGTTCTTAGGTTCCAGTTCATTCTAGCTCTAATCTCTTCCATGAATTGGCCTTGGTGGGGGTCTTGTGAACATTTCTTGTCTGCAGCATTTGCAATGGAGCCTTTTCTCTTCCCAGACTCTAGCAGCAATTTTTCAGGATTAAGCACGTTTCTTGTGCCACCAAGAGGTCAGACTTTAAGGTCAGCCTTGTCAAATTGGCTCACTTTCCCTACTAGCCACTCTTCCTAGTTCTCTCTAGTCATAGAAACGCTGGCTTGTAACTGTGCACAAGGCCCTGCAGAATACAGCCTGCTTGCCCAAACCTCAACTTGTAGTGAGATATGGTCATAGGACCAAGTCCCGGCCAATAGCACTTAATCAGAAGCATCACATGGCAGCTTCTGGTAACTGTTTCTTAAAAGACAGCTGTTTTTTGCCCTCTGCTCTTCTTTGTCCCTTCCTCCATCCTGTTGCCTAGAAGGTGGAGGTGATGGCTGGCATTCCAGCTGCCATCTTGAAATGCAAAGATAGGTGCCATACTGTAGGGATAGCTGCATGGTGAGTAGGAAGAAGCTTTGTTGGATGATGGCATGAAGGCAGCACACCTGCCTCTGGACTTCTACAGGAGAGAAAAACAGTGGGGGGTTATATTTCTCTTAACCTAACTAGTCCAACTGATATTGTTGTTTGGTTAGAATGTATGAAATATTTGTGCATGTTGTAAATTTGAAAGAAAAATTTGTCTAGGGGCTGCCATTGTGGTATAATGTGTTAAACCTCTACTTGCAATGAGTGCCAGTTGTGGCCATCTGGGGAGTGAACCACTGGATGGAAGATCTCTCTTTCTCATTCAAGTCTGCTTTTTAAATAAATAAATCTTTTTTAAAAATCTAGCAGATTATATTTATTTTCCAATTATTTTTAAATGTGTGTGTACTTAAAATCTGAGGTAACCTAAGTATTTAGCATGCATGATAACATTTTTATCTCTTTATGGGCTGGAGATGATCAATTAAGACATTATAGTAGAGTTTAAAATGTGTCCACAAAGAAGTGTGACTGACAGGAAACTGTCATTCTAATGGAACCACTCAATTATAGATCAGCTTTTGGACTGGGTTTGTGGTGATGGCCAGTTCACAGTGAATAAGAGTTTGAAAGATAAATGTATCAAGTTGAGAATGAAGAAGTTACATGAACCCTGCACATGTGTTTCGTATGGTCAGGATGACTCAAGAGAGACCAGTGCTTTTCCATCCACAAGGCCTTGTTTCCCAAGCTGGTCCTCGCTTGCTTGCTGCAGCCCCAGTAGAGAAATGCAGGACTTCCAACAAGGCCATTGATGAAATGACTCATCTTCCAGCCAGGAAACCACAGGGTCTCCTCTATTCCCTGAAACGCTTTCTCTTCTTCCCTTTTTGGGCTACTCCAAAGCTACAGGGCCTCCAGGCATTTCATTTACCCAATCATCAGTTGATGGACATATAGGTTGATTCCATATTTTTGCTGTCGGGAACTGAGCTGCAATAAGCATGGGAATGTGGTTATGTCTTTATATGCTGAATTTGTTTCCTTTGGATATATTCCTAGGGGTGTGATAGCTGGGTCATATGGTAGATCTATTTTTAGTTTTCTAAGGAACCGCCATATTGTTTTTCCATAATGGCTATACCAATTTGCATTCCATCAATAGTGTATTAGGAGCTGGTGCCGTGGCTCAATAGGCTAATCCTCCACCTTGCAGCACTGGCACACTGGGTTCTAGTCCCGGTCGGGGCGCCGGATTCTGTCCCGGTTGCCCCTCTTCCAGGCCAGCTCTCTGCTGTGGCCAGGGAGTGCAGTGGAGGATGGCCCAAGTGCTTGGGCCCTGCACCCCATGGGAGACCAGGAAAAGCACCTGGCTCCTGGCTCCTGCCTTTGGACCAGCGCGGTGCGCTGGCCTCAGCGCGCTGGCCGCGGCGGCCATTGGAGGGTGAACCAACGGCAAAGGAAGACCTTTCTCTCTGTTTCTCTCTCTCACTATCCACTCTGCCTGTCAAAAAAAAAAAAAAATCCAATAAAGTTCATTAAAAAAAAATAGTGTATTAGGATACTTTTCTCTCTACAACGTTGCCAACATTTGATAATATTTGATTTTTTGGGTAATAGTCATTCTAACTAGAGTGAGGTGATACCTGATTGTGGTTTTCATTTGCATTTCCCTGGTGGCTAGTAATCATGAGCATTTTTTCATGTGTCTGTTGGCCATTTATATTTCTTCCTTTGAAAAACCTCCATATCCTTTGACCATTTCTTTTTTTTTGGTTATTAAATCCTTTATTTTTTAAATTTTTTATTTAGTAAATATAAATTTTCAAAGTACAGGTAATGGATTACAATGGCTTCCCCCACCCCATAATTTCCCTCCCACTCACACCCCTCCCACCTCCCGCTCCCTCTCCCATTCCATTCACATCAAGATTCATTTTCAATTATCTTTATATACAGAAGATCAATTCACTATATATTAAGCAAAGATTTCATCAGTTTGCACCCACACAGAAACACAAAGTGTAAAATACTGTTTCAGTACTAGTTATAGCATTACTTCACATTGGACAACACATTAAGGACAGATCCCACATGAGGAGTAAGTACACAGTGATCCTGTTGTTGACTTAACAATTGGACACTCTTGTTTATGGCGTCAGTAATCTCCCTAGGCTCTAGTCATGAGTTGCCAAGGCTATGGAAGCCTTTTGAGTTCACCAACTTCGATCTTATTCCGACAGGGTCATAGTCAAAGTGGAAGTTCTCTCCTCCCTTCAGAGAAAGGTACCTCCTTCTTTGATGGCCCCGTTCTTTCCACTGGGATCTCACTCACAGAGATCTTTCATTTAGGTGTTTTTTTTTTTTTTCCCAGAGTGTGTTGGCTTTCCATGCCTAAAATACTCTCATGGGCTCTTCAGCCATATCTGACTGCCTTAAGGGCTGATTCTGAGGCCAGAGTGCTATTTAGGACATCTGCCATTCTATGAGTCTGCTGTGGATCCTGCTTCCTATGTTGGATTGTTCTCTCCCTTTTTGATTCTATCAGCTAGTATTAGCAGACACTAGTCTTGTTTGTGTGATCCCTTTGACTCTTAGACCTATTAGTGTGATCAATTGTGAACTGAAATTGATCACTTGGACTAGTGAGATGGCATTGATACATCCCACCTTGATGGGATTGTATTGGGATCCCCTGGCATGATTCTAACTCCACCATTTGGGGCAAGTCCGATTGAGCATGTCTCAAATTGTACATGTCTTCCCTCTCTTATTCCCACTCTTATATTTAACAGAGATCACTTTTCAGTCAAAATTTAAACACCTAAGAACAATTGTGTGTTAATCAGAGTTCAACCAATAGTACTAGAACAAAACAAAGATAAAATACTAAAATGGATAAAGTATTACATTGTACATCAACAGTCAGGACAAGAGCTGACCAATGGAACAGAATAGAAACACCAGAAATCAATCCAAACATCTACAGCCAACTTATATTTGATCAAGGATCCAAAACCAATCCCTGGAGTAAGGACAGTCTATTCAATAAATGGTGCTGGGAAAATTGGATTTCCAGGTGCATAACCATGAAGCAAGACCCCTACCTTTCACCTTACACAAAAATTCACTCAACATGGATTAAAGACTTAAATCTATGACCTGACACCATCAAATTATTAGAGAGCATTGGAGATACTCTGCAAGATATAGGTACTGGCAAAGACTTCTTGGAAAAATACCCCAGAAGCACAGGCAGTCAAAGTAAAATTAACATTTGGGATTGCATCAAATTGAGAACTTTCTGTACTGCAAAAGAAACAGTCAGGAAAGTGAAGAGGCAACCAACAGAATGGGAAAAAATATTCGCAAACTATGCAACAGATAAAGAGTTGATAGCCAGAATCTACAAAGAAATCAAGAAACTCCACAACATCAAAACAAACAACCCACTTAAGAGCTGGGCCAAGGACCTCAATAGACATTTTTCAAAAGAGGAAATCAAAAGGGCCAACAAGCACATGAAAAAATGTTCAAGATCACTAGCAATCAGGGAAATGCAAATCAAAACCACAATAAGGTTTCACCTCACCCACGTTAGAATGGCTCACATATGGAAATCTACCAACAACAGTTGCTGGAGAGGATGTGGGGAAAAAGGGACACTGACCCACTATTGGTGGGAATGCAAATTGATTAAGCCACTATGGAAGTCAGTCTGGAGATTCCTCAGAAACCTGAATATAACCCTACCATTCAACCCAGCCATCCCACTCCTTGGAATTTACCCAAAGGAAATTAAATTGGCAAACAAACAAGCTGTCTGCACATTAATGTTTATTGCAGCTCAATTCACAATAGCTAAGACCTGGAACCAACCCAAATGCCCATCAACAGTAGACTGGATAAAGAAATTATGGGACATGTACTCTATAGAATACTATACAGCAGTCAAAAACAATGAAATCCGGTCATTTGCAGCAAGATGGAGGAATCTGGAAAACATTATGCTGAGTGAATTAAGCCAGTCCCAAAGGGACAAATATCATATGTTCTCCCTGATCAGCGACAACTAACTGAGCAGCAAAGGGGAAAGCTGTTGAAGTGAAATGGACACTATGAGAAACAGTGACTTGATCAGCTCTTGTCCTTTGACCATTTCTTAACTGGATAGTATGCAATATTTTCTCCCATTCTGTCCATTGTAAATTGTTAACACATTTGAATAAATACCTTGCACAGCAGTTGCTGAATTTTATGGGAAGCCTCTGTTTCACTTTGTAAGAAACCACAGATTGTATTTCTAAGTGGCTGTCCTATTTTTCAGAGTTCCTGTGGCTCCACATCCTTGTCAGCATTTGGCATTGTCAGTGTTGAAGATTTTACTGTTTTATTTTGTAATTCCCTGGTGACGTTTGATGATGAGCATTTTTTCCTATGCTAATTTGCTTTCTGTCTTCTTTGTTGCAATGTCTATTCAAATACTTGTTCAGCACCCTTTGCTGAAAATGCTATCTTCTTTACTGGATAGCCTTTGCTCCTTTTTCAAAACTTAGTTGACTGCATTTGTGTGGGTCTATTCCTGCTCTATATTGTGTTCTACTTCAATTATTCTTCTCATCATACCATGTGATCTTCAGTATAACGTTTTTAAAAAATATTTATTTATTTGAAAAACAGAGTTACAGAGAGAGAAAAAGAGGGAGAGAGAGAGATTTCTTACATCTGCTGGTTCACTCCCCAAATGGCCTCAGTGGCCAGGGCTGGGCCAGGTCGAAGCGAGGAGCCAGGAGCTTCACCTAGTTCTTGGACATGTGTGGCAGGGGCACAGACACTTGGGCCATCTTTTGCTGTTTTTCCCAGGCACATTAGCAGGGAGCTCAATCAGAAGCGGAGCAACCGGGATTTGAACTGGCACCCATATGGGATGGGGGCCCTGCAGGCCACAGCTTAACCTGCTGCACCACAATGCTGGCCGGCCCCATTCACTTTAACTTTATATGATGTAAATAATGTTGAGAGAATATAAGATTTTATATTGTTTCACTTTACACAGAGAATATATTACTGTAACTTTAAAAAATAAATAAAAACTAATTATTATAAAAGGTATAGTGTCGAGCCGGCGCCGTGGCTCAATAGGCTAATCCTCCACCTTGCGGCGCCGGCACACCGGGTTCTAGTCCCGGTTGGGGCGCCGGATTCTGTCCCGGTTGCCCCTCTTCCAGGCCAGCTCTCTGCTATGGCCAGGGAGTGCAGTGGAGGATGGCCCAGGTGCTTGGGCCCTGCACCCCATGGGAGACCAGGAAAAAGCACCTGGCTCCTGGCTCCTGCCAGGATCAGCGCGGTGCGCCGGCTGCAGCGG